GTCCCAGAAATAAGTGCAGGTATTTTAAGGGATGGTAGATCTGGTCAAAAGAAACATTTTTTCTGTTTACCGTTTTTCAGATAAGTCCAAAATAACCCAGTTATTTTACTTTGAAAATTTCCAAAAAAAAAATGATAATTCCAAATGTTCAAATTTTTTTTTTCGCAAAAAATACCTCATAGGCGTGTTCACTGTCTCCTGATGGACTAACAAATATCGTTGATAAGTATCTCTTTATCGTAGTAACGCATGAATATACATGCTACATGCTGACATATTTTGTTGTACCGTTTCTTTTCTCTCCCATTTGTCTGGGGTAAAAACTGTATGTGTATGGCCTATCTTAACACTGATACATATATCCATTTTTAATGCTAAAAACATGTTTTTTTGTAGAGTCTTAAGTTCTTTTGTTTACTTCGGAAGAAATACCTCTTAAACTGTTGTTATTTTTCGTTGTTTAATTTGATTAGTGGTGCTTAACGATAAGGGGAGGTCTAAAAGTTCGCTCGATGCTCAATGTTTGTTAGAATGTAATTCGCAGATAAAAATGCCGGTCGGAAAAGCGCTCGCCGTGTTTTGTGCATATGTAAATGGGGGAGTTTTTCTTGTAAGATATGCAACTTGATTTAGGGTAGTAAAAAGGAAGCGAGGAGAGTTGAAGAATATCTATAGGTGGCCAGGCGCCATATCGGTTGCCTAGGAAACGACGCCATCTCTATCCATTCGCCACTCACTTCTCCTGGCGCTTTTAAATCTTCGCCAGCCACTATATTCCATTGTATTGTCGCCTTTTGCAGCCAATTTACTTTTCCAATGATGGAAAAGTACATATGACAAAGGAAATCGGAAAACCAGACAACTGATTTCGTAAAATCTGACTAAATCAGCATAGTATATAGTATCTCAATAAAATTGTTCAAATAACTGATAACCATGACGAATAATTCTTTTACTATATTTTATACATAAGTAAAAATAATTTGAAAATGAGAGTTCTTATTTGAAAATGGACTTTAAATTCTTCTACAGAAATTATGTTTTTATTTTTTTTTTCTCTCTCGCTTTTTTATTTCTAACCAGTGTCTTAGCAACTCTTTATTACAACTTCATGTCGATTGCATTGAAATAATATTAAAATCGTGGCTTTGTCATGGTATTTAAGTATTTTAGTTTTTTTCTAGTGCAGTTATTGAAACTAATAAAACACTCAGGTACGAGGTTTGTGTTATGTAACGCTGTTTCGGGTAGTAAATGCGAGAAACAACACGAACTGCGCGTCGCGTTTTGTTGTGACAGTTTCTAGTTTTAATAAAACTGCCGAAAAAATGTTAACACAGAAAGGAGAGAGGAGAGCATAATTATTAGCGATGGGAACTATCGAATGGTTAATGAATGAATGATTTCAACTATCGAATGGTTTTATTCGAATAAAATCATTCATTCATTTGTATACTAAAGCATATGTGACAACCTCGCCGTGCGACCAAATGGTTATCGTTGCGCCACGACTATCGAATGCTTTTGATAAATGAAATTTAGTATTCGTTTGATTTTTGTTGCGTCAGTGCATTATTAGTTCTTCCAAATTTTTATAACTTTGCCGTATAAATACTGTGCTATTTTTGCGTTTATTAAAATAGTTAAAATACTAAAATAGTAGTTATTTTTTAATTTTATTTATTGACGATTGTGTGCATGTGCAGGTGGTCAAAAGTTTTCCGAAAATTTGTGTGGTTTTCCGTAGTCCGATCTTTCAATTATTTAATTTTATATGGTATATGGCTATTTTTTAATGGGAAATTTTGAGAGGTAGCAATTTTTAAGAGAGATGAGATGAACTTACAATTAATTTTAAAAATACATATTTGTATTTTAGATGTTTTAATAATATTAATTAGTTGAACTTAATAATCATATTTAAGTAATGTAGTTAAGTAAATGGTTATCGAACTCAAACTATGGGGTGAGAAAATTAAAATGAAAGTTTTACACGTGCCAATTTAAAAAAAAAGTTAACGATGTTTGTATTTTGTTAATGCTAATTCTCTTACATGCAGTTTTTTGCGAAGAAATATTTCATTTATTTTTTAAAGTAAATGCCAGTAAAGTAAATATAATTTTTAAATAGTAATATAAAGCACCTAATATAAATAATTTTGATTTCTAATTTTTTATTTATATTTTCGTTCCATTACATTGCATGCTTAGAAAATTAATAAATGTTTATATTTCATGATTTTAAAATTTGTTGTTAATATAACAAATTAGTTCTGTAATTATTATTATTTAAAACCAACGTTGCCAAAAAATTTAGAGACTATATTATTTTTAAATAGGATCTAATATAAATAATTTTGACATCTAATTTGTTGTTTATATTTTGCTACTACTTAAAAAAATATTTATATTAAATAGTTTTAAATTTTGTTGTTAATAGGTATAACAAATTATTACTGTTATTATTATTTATTAAACCAGTCTTTGCTTAAAAACATTAAAAATCATTTTCTTACATCCAAAATAACAAGTATTATTGCAGTGTAACAACAGAATATTAATAAAAAAAATGCAGAATATATAGACATACTATCCCTAACTAACTAAAGCCAAACAATAATATTCTTTGCTAATATCAACTAATACCAAAATATGGCAACAGCGCCCTTCATAATGTATTTTCTGTGTAAATACTAGCACCTCAATAAAAAAAATAATGTGTCGTTATCTATATCTGACTCGGCAAAAAATCAAAGATGCCGGCTTCTTTCATAGCATTGCCACCGACCGCTGTCGGGTTTCTCGGAAAGAAACCTACGTCGCCGGGCGACAACTAAAATTCAGTTAATATTTTATTATAATCGATCCTGACGAATAAATGAATTTCATAAATGAATGAATTTTATAAATGAATGGTTTTTGCTGCCGAATTACTAGAATACAATATTTCAAGGCAGATGACGGATCTATTCGATAATTTTTATTCGAATAGTTTTCAACGAATGTTTTCTTACTAACTATCGAATTATTCGAATGAATTGCAACTATCGAATGCTTCGATAGTACTCATTCGATAGTTCCCACTACTAATAATTATATGGTTACTTGGTGCAATAACCGTTCAATAACTCAATTCTTCCGGATATTCAACTCCCCAAACAACATTTTATAGGTTCACAGCTTCTCAGACCGATTTGATCAACAGCAAAAATGGATAGTTCAATAAAACAAGTGAGTAAACAAAGTGCTCATTACATAATCAAAAAATTAAATAGGCATATACTATGAGAGCATAAAATATAATTTTCAATAATAATTGTATACATTTTTTAATCAACTAGTGCTTAAATTTTTTATAAACATCTGCTAAATTTATAATTATGCACTTTTGAAAAAATAACCCCTGTTATGTCCCCACTTGATTATGAATAGACAATGGTAAAATCAGATCACTTTCTTAAATAAAACAAGTTATGCAGAAATCACTGAAACATTTTATTATTTCTTTAATATTACAAATACATACCGTTTTTAAATATAATACATAATAACATTAGCTGCAAATTGCGGCGAACTATATTATAAACATTGCACGAGATTTTAGTTTTTCTTACACAGAACAAAAATTTGAAATTATTCTGAATGAGAGAGACAAATATACAATAAACAAAAGCTATTGTGTAATACTCCATTTGCGATTTGTTCGATCATTTCTTTTTCTCATTACCTTATAACTACACACCCTGTCATATAAAATTCCAGATTCAATTCAAAGATTAATACCTGGAATTCAATGGCTTACAAAAACTAGTCCGATAACAAAAATAAATTAAAAACTTACATATACAATAAAATAAAATATCTTTTTTGGAAATACAGTGCTTTAAGAAGTATTTTCAATCTTTTAAAAGACTTTTTAAAACATTTTTTTTACCAGCGTGTATGTACAGAAATTATGTCGCCTACTATAAGCATTTTTAAAAATGTATCTTAGCTTTAATTCATATAGATTAAATATATGTATATTTATATAAACTACTGCAAACACTACTTGAAAATGGATTTTGTTTTGATAATTTAAAAAGGCTGTCTTCGCTTAGCGTCTTTTAATTGTCAAAACTGGGGGAAATCACATAAACTCCATTTTCAACATATTGGTATATGTGATAAAAATACAAGAAAAATATATACAGGGTGGTCCGAATTGCATTCGGCAGATTTCGGCAGCATATTCTGCAGATAAGAATAAGTAAAAATGTTCGTATAAATTATGTCCTAACATGCTTCATTTCGGCGGTACAGGGTGTAGTAGTTTCATTTTTATTCCAATATGACTCCTACTTAAATCACTAATCAATATTAAAATCACTACAAGCGACCGTTCTCAAGATATTTGGAATGGAAATAGTCAATATACGTGCCATTATTGACAACAAATAAATATGTTGAGTAGATAGTTATTTGGCTGAAATGATAAATTTGGAAACTTTTTATTTTTTTAAATTTTTTCTTCGAAAAAATTATAATAAAACAGTTTCTGTTGAACTTTTATCACAAAAAACATTTCAAATTTATTATTTCAGTCTAATAAGTATTAGTCAACATGCTTAATTTATGTCAATGATGACAAGTATTGATAATTTAGATTCCAAATATCTCGAGAACCATTAGAGGCAACTTTTTTACGTAAAAAACGTCGTAAATGTATATTTTTGTACTCAGTAGTTTTATACAGGTACGGACGAAAAGTTAAGACTATTCAAACCAGTTTAAAAAATATGTAGGTGGTGCCCTTTACAAGTAGGAGTCATATTGATATCCAAAATGAATTTTTTATGTAAAAAAACTAAATTTTCTTCGAAATATTGACGTTAATTCAGAAATTATTCGGAAAAAATCGAAATAAAAATGAAAATTTTACACCCTGCATCTCCGAAACGAAGAATTTGAGGACACACATTTATACTTATCTACAGAATATGCTGCAGAGGCTTCCCGAATACAATTGGGACTACCCTGTATAGTACTGGTAATAAAAAACCAAGGATTTTCGAAAAAAAAACTTTAGAAGTTAAATGTAACACCGTACAAGTAGACATACATATAATATTTATAAGTTATTTAACATTTTTACAAGTTTACTTGATTTTGAGTTTGTCCATACGCACTTTTTCACAAAAAAAAACGACACTAAGATCACTATCAGTACGTTGTGTATATACAAGTCATTCTAGGCCTAAATAAATTATTTCTTTTTAATACCGAACGTTAATTTTCGAACTTTGATAGAAATTTTCACTGCAAATTTTGCCTTTTAGCTGCATGCTCGTCTTCATTGTCGGAAATGATGTCACTATTTTCGTCAGTTTGATTGTCGAGAACTTCTTGTTTCCTTTTTGCCGTTGCCATTTCCGCGGCGTGTTTTTTTCTCCATTTTGTCCGCCTGTTTTGAAACCATACCTGAAAAACAAACAAAACGAGAAGATTATGTATCTATTTTTAACTTTTTATAAATTTTTAGGGAGTAAAAATTCAAGGCCGTGACACAGAAGCTAGCGAGACGGCCGTGACACACAAAGGCGAGACGAAAAGTGGTAAGGACAACCTACGGCTTGACGCGGTGGCTACTGCCTAGTGACGCGACGTGTATTTGTGAACAGTCCACGTTTTTCTCAAAAATATTGATATTTTAATACAATGTTTAATATTGATACGGTCACTATAAATCTTGATAGTTAGATTGATTAAATAACTATCCATAGACAATTGCTAAAATACTGACTAGGTTTTGAGATCTCACGTTTTTAGCCGACCATACCAATACGTGCCTCTCGACGTCAATTTTTTTGTAGTGTTTTTTACATTTTAAGTTTTCAATGGGATTTAATCATTAAGGGAAAATTAGCATTAAGAGAATTAAAGTGTTTTAGATAATTATTAACAAAGCAGCGGTTGTTTATCTTAAAACACGAGTATGTACACTGAATGAATAATCCTGCTTTGTTAGACGATAATATCCTGCAGGGCAACATCTTCATTTTAATTGATGTTGTTCTCGATCTCCCTTTATCGCAGAATCCTTTTTGGCTCGCGTATTCTCTCTGAGGCAGAATATCGAACCGTTGTTTCAGACCATCGCCTTGGCCTGTATTAACTCTCCAAACCCTATTTTGCATGATTTATCATGCTGCTATAGCTTTAAATGCCGTGTAATTCGCAAATTTAATATATAATGGGCCTGTTTGGCGCAAATCGTCGAAAAGATGTAGCATCGGTTAGCAGTTTTGTGGAAGGTTTAGTATATTTACATCTCTTTTACTTGTTAGTAACGTTAATCCAATTTTATAAATAATTACCAACATTACCCCTCTTCAAATACTTTTTTCATGGAAAATTACATTTTTTTCGTAACATTCCGGTAGACTATAAATAAAATCCTTCTACACCAAGAGATAGAAGCAGAGCAGTTTAAGAGCAGAATAATAGCAGTTTTAACAAAAGCGGTGATATGACGAAAACTGCCAAGGTTCACGACTATATGTATGGAAAAAAGTCGAAAAATGTTTATTTTTGGCTATTTTTACACATTTTCAAAGGCCTAGAAAGACAGTAATTAAAGTCAAAAATTGTGAAAATTTCAGGATTTGTAGGAAATTTTATGTAAATTCCGAATATATACAACTTAGGCTTAGAAAAGGCTTACATATCTTGGTTTTGTGTGAAAACTAATTTTTTGAACCCTTGTTTTTAAGCTATTTTTGATGATGATTAAAACCTCTCCTACATCCATTACCATTTTAGTAAGACCACAATGGCATATATTTTCTAATTCTACGCCTTAGTTAGTAAATAACAGCAGTTTTATCAAAATTCGGTGACATGACAAAAATCGCCAATTTTCATGACGGGAAAAAATAAAAAGTTTGGTTTGGTATATAGCAATCATAGCCATAAAATTATGAAAATTTCAGCATTTGTAGGAAATTTTATGTAGATTCAGAAAATGTACGACTATGAGAGGCTTAGATATCTTGATTTTGTGGGAAAATTAATTTTTTGGACCCTTATTTTGATCGATGACATGACGAAAATTTTCACGACGGTATGTATGGAGCAAAATAAAAATACTAAATCACCACAATACACCAAAACACTTTTACTTTTACACTGGACGCGCGTTTCGCTAACCATGTTAGCATCATCAGCAGATGATTATAAACTAAAGTACAATCTACAAGTTGAGCGTTTATATACTCGCTCAGTGGGCACCGAGTGGGCGTGGCAAAATCTAGTCAACCGAGTCAGAGCCAACTGAGCGTAACAGTTAGATTTCCGCCACTAGAGTAGTAGGAACAAAGAACTTGAAGGAATTGGACCGTTGACTCTGTTCATACTATCTTTACATTTATTAATTCTGATGCTTTCATATGCATCTAATTGCCTGTAATTTGAGACTTGTTTAATTAATTTTAAATTATTAAGATCTATACAATGTTCATTATCAACAATATGTTCGGCAACGCAAGATTTATCCGGTCTACCATATCTTATCTGAGCTAAATGTTATTTAAATCTAGTTAATATTGATCTTCTAGTTTGCCCAACATATTTCTGATTACAATCTTTACAAGAAATTTCATAAATACCCGACCTTTCCAGTGGAGGTGTTTTATCTTTTGGATTACCTAATAATTGTTGTAATTTATTATTAGCAGGTTTGAAGCTAAGAATCAGTTTGAGTATTTTCCAAGAGTATGGTATGTGGATGATATTTTTGCTGTTTTTGACACATATTCAGACACCATAGATAATTTTATTTCTAAGTTAAATAATCGTTTCCCTTCCATTAAATTTACGTATGAAATTGAGAACAACGACAGATTACCATTTCTAGATGTATTAGTTATATTAGAAATACTAATAATTGCCTGGAGTTTGATATCTATAGGAAAAATACCATCACACGCAGATATATTCCTAATGAATCACATCATAGTGTTGAACATAAAATGGCTAGTTTAAATTTCTTAGTTCATAGATTACTTAGTTTCCCACTTTCCAACGAAAGATATGAAATAGAAAGAGATTACATTAGGAATGTAGCTGAGTGTAATGGATATTCTCCTTGACTAGTTGATAAATTAATTAGAAAACGTAGGTATAGGTTAATGATTTCTGAAAATTCGACTTTTCAAGTGGAGAAAGATACGTCTAAATATTTTTCGATACCGTTTCATAGAGAGTTATCCCGTGGTCTAAAAGGAATTTTTAAGAATGTCAATTATAAACTTGTGTATAGTGCTAATAATAATTACAACAATTATTAGGTAATCCAAAAGATAAAACACCTCCACTGGAAAGGTCGGGTATTTATGAAATTTCGTGTAAAGATTGTAATCAGAAATATGTTGGGCAAACTAGAAGATCAATATTAACTAGATTTAAAGAACATTTAGCTCAGATAAGATATGGTAGACCGGATAAATCTTGCGTTGCCGAACATATTGTTGATAATGAACATTGTATAGATCTTAATAATTTAAAATGAATTAAACAAGTCTCAAATTACAGGCAATTAGATGCATATGAAAGCATCAGAATTAATAAATGTAAAGATAGTATGAACAGAGTCAACGGTCCAATTCCTTCAAGTTCTTTGTTCTTACTACTCTAGTGGCGGAAATCTAACTGTTACGCTCAGTTGGCTCTGACTCGGTTGACTAGATTTTGCCACGCCCACTCGGTGCCCACTGAGCGAGTATATAAACGCTCAACTTGTAGATTGTACTTTAGTTTATAATCATCTGCTGATGATGCTAACATGGTTAGCGAAACACGCGTCCAGTGTAAAAGTAAAAGTGTTTTGGTGTATTGTGGTGATTTAGTGTTTTTATTTTGCTGTGTAACACCAAAGGTTCCAACCCTCAACTGTAATAAGGTATGTATGGAAATAAGTCGAAAAAATGCCTTTCAAATTTTCGAAAACCTTAGAAGAATAGTAAACATCACAACACCACTATGAAAATGTCAGCATTTGTAGGAAATTTTATGTAGATTTGTACAGAGTAGGTAACTATTAATTCTTTTAAATTAAACAAAAATTAATCAAATTCATTTTACCTTCACCAAAACTGTTTTTATTTATTTAAAGAGTGGTCACATTGAAAAAGCGTGGAGCCAAAGAGCCATGTGGAGTGCGGAGTGAGGCTAGAAAAGCCCCTTGCGACGATTTTTCCGGCGGGCCTTATCAATCAGGGCGGCTAAACCTAAATAGCTATGACGATGTTTGTTATAAACAAGTGGCAGCCTCCGACCACCCCAGGCTTTGTGCCGCCCTTATTCAATTTGTCAGAAGATTATGCCGCGGTGGTTGCAAACCCTCCCTTAAAAACGATACATCATGGAGGCTCCCAGATCCTCATTGACATTTCTTGGCGAGGGGGCCGAAGCATAGTCAGACTAGCGGCCTATCTTTCTCTTCGTAACGTTCCTCACTAATAACCCCACATTATTACTATACTATCATTCATTTAAAGCGATAAACGAAGGAAATGTACCATAAATAATATCTCTCAGTTAATTTACATGGAGGATGCCCTTTTATTAATTATACCCTGGACTGAGAAAATAAAAGGGACCTCCTCTTACCATTACATTACATTTAAACCTTTAAACCGCCCTGTTTTAACAACCTTTATAACAAATATAACTAATTTTTAAACAGTTTCAAACCGTACAAAAACATCATAACTTGACGTGGCGTCGCACAGTGCTTCGTCCCATGGACAAAAATCGAAAAAAAAGTTAAAATTTATTAATATCTGAATATGTAATTATATACTTATAGCAATGTTCAACCATCCTGTATATTATTTTTAATAAACAGCGTTTTTTGTTAGCAAATATTTTCACTAAAAATAAATTTTGCGATCATAATCTTATCAGTGAAAAGAATAACATTCATAGTAGTTCTGTATATTATGGAGTTAAACGGTACGTACTTAATTGAAAGCCACTATGGATATTGTTAAACAAGGAATGTACTTTTAAATTTATTTCTAAACAAGTTCGTGATTGTTTAGTTTTTATTTATTTTTAAGATGGTTCTTAAATGGGTATAAAATTTTACGTTTTCAAACTTCAAAAAGGCATTTAAAAAAAAACATATCAAAACATATCGTATTTATTGAATATATGTGTTGTCATATTCATACACTTTAAATTTTGTATAGTTCACCTGCGTCTGCTTGCGACGAACTTTATTTTATAATACTTTTCAGATGGAGTAAAATTGATAAGCAATGCCGATCTGGTTAATACTTGGCTTGATCATAAGGACAAGAACTCAAAATTATTTGTATTTCAGAAAATGTGTTCTTTATTAGATATTGATGAACCTTCCAGTCAAATGAGACACCACTTGTGCCTGAAGAAGCCCACTATGTTGGAGCGAAACGTCG